AGGGTTAATCCAGCCTCTGGTGGCTGTCTCATTGACAGCTGCTATAGGAGCTTCCGCGATTCTCACTGTGAAAATCACAGTGAGAAGACACTGAACGTCCATAGGAAAGCATTGAGTAATGCTTTTCTATGGGCGGTTTAAATTTGCGCGCCTCTTGCCGCACATGTGCATTCGGAGCTGAGAGGCGGAGGGATTCCCAGCGCCAAGGGAGTCCGACGCTGGAGAAAGGTAAATGCTGAAGACACACACACATTCTCACGAACAGACGCATACACACTAGCTAACAGACACACACATTTACTGACATACATACACACTCACTTACAAAACATACACTTTCACAGACAAACACACACTCACTAACAGACATCAAACACACACAGTAACAGACACACACAGTAACACACTCACTAGCAGACACACACCCAATAACAGACACACTCACTGACACACACCCAATAACAGACACACTCACTGACACACACACTCACACACAAACACACACACACACTAACACACACTAACACACACACATTTTTTTTTTTAAATTTAATCCCCTCAGCCTCCTTACCTTTTGGAGTGCTGGGGGGATTCCCTGGGGTCCAGTGGTGGTGCTGCTGGGCTCCTGGGCGGGCAGGCTGGCTGTCTGGGTGGCCGGCCGGCGCGCGGGAGCACTCTCCCCTGTGTGCTTCCTCTTCAGCTCCCTCGCGAGCCGCGTAGGGATGCTGGCGCCGGAAGATGACGTGCTCCCTCGCGCTCCGGCCGGCCACCCAGACAGCCAGCCTGCCCGCCCCCCGGGGTCAGCAGGGCCAGCCTCGGGGGAGCCCTGGGGTGGCCGGCTCCTGGTGAAGAGGCTGGCCCTGTGGGTACATACCGGGTCGCAGGGGCGACCCTGGTATGTACGCCACTGCATATAGCAATGTATAATAAGAGCAGTGAGCATAGTATGGGTCAATCTTTACAGTTGGATATAGCAGTGTGCAATAAATGGGCAGCCTTAACACAGAGCAGAGCATAAAGACTTTTGCTGCTCACATGATGTTTAGAATATTGTTCCAGAGAAAAGTGCCCTGACCTTATTCAATGCCTGCATTTAACACATTGAGGCATGTAATATGTCACAAAGTAGTTCGTTGCTTATTTCCAGCATACCAAGGATTAAACAGAACAGTTACATTATATTAACAATAAGCACATACTTGCCAGTGTTTAAAATATTACAAGCACATTATGCAAGCGACTGGCACCTCTTCTCCAGGATCCTGCTAAACAGCGATTTGTATTACATAGTTGCCAACAGTCTTAGATTGAATGATAATCTTATTATAGGCCCACCTCCTGATGTCCAAGCTTTTTCCTAAAATGTTCTGGTACTTAGAAAACAAAAGAAAAGGTCTTATAATGTGCGAGTTTAACATGTCATGGCTGAGCTAGGTAATTCCGCACACGCATCTGAAACACATATCCCATGTCAGTGCTGCTAGTGACACAAATTATTTTACTGACACATTCCTACTCCAGCTTTGCCCACCTGCCCCCATCCAAACAAAACACTTGCCAATGTTGGCAAGCATGATTTTAATAAACTGAGCGCCAAGTTGAATACATTTTTTTTATTTTATTTTTTGTTATTCAAAGTTTTGAATTGCATTGACAGCATTCCATAAGTACAGGTAAAGTGTAACAGTAACAAGGCAGAGTGTATCGCTGGGTGTCAGGGGTCCGCGGGCGGGTGTGAGGGGAGGCTCCTCCTACCTGTTGGCGAGCGGCGTCTCCTCTCCGCCGCTCGCGTCCTCCACACCTCCCAGCGGCAGCATGTATAACACTGCACGCTGGGAGGTCGCAAATTTATGCAAACACCGGGGTTAAAGCAACAGTACCACAATCACAGTGGGAGGCGTAGATATCTCCCATGTGTGTTTGTTAATTCTGATTGGAAGTTATCCAATCAGAATTAAACAAAGGGTATTTATACTTACCTTTCCTGTCTCTCAGTGCCCTGTTGTGGTCTTGTGATACCTGTATTGCAGTTTTCTTGTGTTGTTCTCTGGTTACCGATTTATTTGGCTCGTTATTCCGATTATCCTGTCTTCTCCACTCCTTTGACCTCGGCTTGTTTCTCGTTCTCCCGTTTTTTGGCTCCCTTTACTTGACTTGTCTCCTTACCTTTCTTAGTGTGCTTAGCCCGGCCACTCTAAGGACCGGTATAGCACCCTTCCTCTCTGTGACCTGTTAGCGTGTTAGGTTCCAGAATCATGACACTGGGCGGGCCAGCCAGGTATGCAGGTCTGGCTGTAGTTTACAATCGTACAGTATATGCGTTACAGATCACATATTTGGCAATGTCAGCTGTGTTTTACATTACAGTGGTGTGCGTAATTTGCGGGGTAGTGTGTCCCGTGAACCACGGCATCAGTGGGGTGCATATCGCTGGCAAGGTGTGGGCTGAGGTATGGACCTTGTAACGCGAGGTATGATATTCAAGGATAAGGAGGGGTAACTTGCGGGCAGCTGGGGGATGTAGTCCGGGGGTCTCCCTGGTTGGGTCTATGCTGGGCCCGTCGGGAGGGATCTGGGGGGCATTTGACGGTAGGTCGGTGCGCAGTGTGGCCTGGAGGGCTGGGCTGGATCACTGTCAGGTGGGTGTATTTGCCATGCGGGTCTTGACAGTCCTGTCTACCCTCCTCTGGTGCCTGTGGGGCCCGTTCTTTTGGGAACTGCAGTCTGGTGTGCGAGTCCATTGGAGTATTACCATTGTATCTTGCGGTTGTCCTTGTCGTTGTTGTACACAGCGTGGTGTCAGGAGGGTCGTGTCCGGTTGGCCAACGCTCCAGGTCGTGAGTTTTGAACAGCGTCTTATGGTGTATTGTGCCCAGTTTTGTGCATTGGTCCCCCAGTAATCTCAGGGAGGGCGGTTAGCGTTGTGTCTAGGGTTGTTAGGGCCATGTAGGGTCACATGTGACTGTTGTGTTGTGTGGTTGTTCTTCCCGATCGGAAGGGGGTGGAGGGGGGGTGTCCATGTGGGCAGTTTGTGTCCCTGTGCTGTTGTGTCAGTAGTGAGGTGTATGTGTTGTGGGTTACGGGGTTGGTTCGGGGAGTAAGGGGGGTAGACTGGTGGGGAGCGAAAGTGTAGAAGACGAGGGAGAGGTGGGTAGGTTTGGGGTCAAGCGGGGTGGAGTCTGGAGGGTCTAGGGGGAAGAAGAGGGGATCTGGTCCCAGGTTCCCATCCTAGCTCCCCTCACCCCCAGGCCGGGGCTGGTGCGGTGCAGCATCAACCGGATTATCTCGGGTGGGTTGGACTGGAATTCCTGCCTCCGAGGTCTCTTCGTCTGGTGTCGTCGGGGTCGGGTTTCTACCGTCCGTCGCCGAGGGTTGAGTATCTCCCGTGCTTGCAGCAGGGGAGGAAAGCCAGTGGTACCATGTGTCATGGTAGCTTTGTATGCGTCCCGCCGCAGAGTGGATTAGCTCCTCAATGCGTCTGATATCCTCCACTCTATTCATCCATTCTCTTATCGTCGGGGCCGTGTGTTGTTTCCAGTGTCCCAGTATGAGGCTAAGGGCCGCGTTCAGTAGGTGTGGTATCACCGATTTCTTGAATCTGTTTATGGAAATTGTGGTTAATCGGAGCAGGTATGTTTCAGGTGTGGGTTGCAGGTTTGCATCGGTTATGGTCGTTAGTATAGTGTGGACCGCTGCTCAGAAGGGCTTGATAAGTGGGCAAGACCACCAGATGTGGAAGAGGGACCCTAGTTCCTTCCCGCATCTTCCGCATTCCGGGTCATTTGTGGCTTTCATCACAGTTAGTTTTTCAGGCGTCCTATACCAGTGTGAGATCATTTTGTATCCTGTTTCCTGGAATTTGGTGGAGATAGAGGCTTTATGTGTGAGTGTGAACACCGTTGTCCATTGTTCCGCCGAGAGTGTGTATCCTAGATCCCTTTCCCAGTACTTAGTGAAGTAAGGAAGGGGTGCGTCTGCGGGAGGAGTGATTTGCATGCGGTATAGGATCGATATTGCGTGTGGGGGGGAGAGGGGTTCGTGCAGAAGGCCTCGAGCGGTCATGATGCAGAGTCTAGGCCCGGTATGCTCTTCAGGAACCCCGTCAGTTGGTGGTATCTGAAGCGAGTAGCATGGTGTGTGGGGCGTTCGGAACCAGATCCCTCGGCAGCGTGACCGCGCCCTGGTTGTACACACCCCTCTGCAGGGGGATGGTAGACCCAGGGCCAATGCGTAGTGGGGGTCCAATGCTGGGGTAAATCGCGAGTTGTGTGATATGGGACATAGTGGTGAGAGCTCCAGGGCTATGTCTTTGTGTGCTGCTATCCTCCTCCAGGCGGCCATTGTGGCATTTAGAGTCGGCCGTGTTTTTCGGTAAGAACGGGAGGAGAGACAGGGGTGTCGGTGAGAAGCTGCCCTCTATGGCAATCCAGAGTTTCTTTCGGGTTGGGTGTCCATTCGATCAATCTCTGGAGGTGGATGGCCTCGCCGCTAGGGAGAACTTTTGGACGTGGCTCTTCTGTCTCCACGCTCTCGGCGCCCTAGCAAGCAATTTATCATTCTTGTTTCCGTATTCGTAAAATGTTCGTTTTGTAAGTTGGAACTGGAATTGTATTTTCAACGTTAGGCAAGAGTTGAGTCTCGCTCTGGTCTCCAGGAGTTGTTTGTGTGTGTCGTCGCCGGAGGTCCTGCTTGTGGCGTGTTTCCAGTTGGTCCAGTTGGGCGATGAGGTGCGCTATTTCTTGTTGTTTCAGGTGGGTGCCATGTTTGATGAGGATCCCTCTAATTACACATTTGTGTGCCTCCCATATGGTCGGTGGTGAGCGGTCTGTTGTCGTGTTGGTGAGAAAGTAGTGTTCTAAGGCGGTTCGGATTTCTGTTTGTATCAGCGGGTCTCCTAGGAGTGATTCATTGAGTTTCGGAACGGAATGGCCTGGGGTTTTCGATGGTAAGGATTACGGGCGCGTGTTCCGACCATGTCATCGGAGCTATGCGGGTGGAGATCAGTGCATCCAGGTCTCTGTGGTGGGTGGAGAAGTATCAATCCTCAAGTAGGATTTGTGCGGCGTCAAATAATAGGTGTAGTCCTTTTCTGCATTGTGGATAGTGCGCCAGCAGTCTGCGAGCTGATAGTTTGAGAGGAGGGTCCTCATGCCCCTGAGGACGTGGTCCGGGATTGTGGAGTTTCCTTTCAACGTGCCCACTCTGGGTTCCAGGGGGGCGTTGAAGTCACCTCTGATAATGACAGTCCCTTCACTGAACGCGTCCAGGGCTTTTAGGGCAGAGGCCAGGGACGCTTTTGGGCCTTTGTTCGGGAGATATAAGTTCGCAAGCATGACTCGAGAGTCTCCTATATACTGTCAGGATTACTGTTTGATCCAGCACATAGAACTGTACAGCACGGATGACAAATAAGTAACGTATTACCGGTCCTTAGAATGGCCGGATTTAACGTACAAAGAATAGTCAAAAATACTAGCCGAGGTCAGGGAACACAGAAAGGGACACAGCGATGAGGAAAGCCAGGAGTCAGGATACCAGAATATAGAGAAGTCAATAAACAAAGCCAAAGTCAAAACCAGGTAGAAAACTATAAACAGGAACGCGCTCTCGGACAACCACAAGGGAAACCACGACAGGGCACTGAGCAGGCTGAGAACTGGGCCTAAATACCCCTCCTTTCTTTCTGATAGGCTGTAACCGGCCTTTGACCCCAAAGTCAGTTACCAGGTTTCATTTGCATAATTGCTGCTCAGCATTAACCCTTCTGTGGATTAGGTTGCTGCTCGGCACAACTTTTCCTGTGTGGACAGTAAATGTCATTAACCACTTTTCTATAAGCGGATGAATACATGAGACCAGGTTTCATTTGCACAATTACTGCTCAACATTAAACCTTCTGTGGATTAGGTTGCTGCTCGGCACAACTTTTCCTGTGTGGACAGTAAATGTCATTAACCACATTTCTATAAGCGGATGAATACGTGACATATACCCTTTGAGGAAGAGGTATCTCCCCTCCCGGTCCCTCTCTTCGGCTTCCAAGCGGAACTGAATATCTTCCGAGAGTAGTATGGCCACTCCTTTGGATTTGGTTGAGGGGTTGTGTGCGAAGTGGCCGGTTGGGTAGTATTCATTGGAGAATTTGGGGGCCTGAGTCGCGAGGAAGTGTGTTTCTTGGAAGAAGGTGATCGATATCTTTAGTGCTCGAATCTCGTGTAGCGCCCTTGCTCTTTTTGCGGAGAGTTTAGGCCCCTCGCATTGATCGTGTAGAGGTTAATGCCCTCCCCCATGCACCCGGTAGGGCCAGAGGTGCGGGTGGCAGGAGGGGGTGGCCCTATGTTGTGGGGGTGTCCCTGGGGCCAGACCGGTAAATGAGATACAGAGGGTCGGGAGGGGGGAGAGGAGGGGTGAGGCAGGTGGGCGTATGTATGTGGTGTCGCCAGGGAGGTGCGGGGGGGTGGTCAGTGTGGTGTAGTGAGTGTAGGTGTCGTTAAGTCGCAGAGGAGACTGAGGTCAGGGGTGACATGCCGCTGGTAGATGGGTGTCCGGGGACGACGTCCCGCGAATCCACCTCTCAGGGTGTTGGCAGTAAACCCGTGGGGTAGGTGGCGTCAAGAGTTGGTTGGGTCACTAGCCATTGTCTTTTCGGTGGGGTAATGTCACAGTAGATCAGCATCCTTCCCCAGCTGCCCGTTATCCGTGTGATGTGGCACCCGGGCAGGGGTTAGACCGTTTCAATGGTCTGGTTTGTATGTAGACGGGCATCCGTATTAGTATCTACGTGGTGCGTGCCTCAAAGCATACGATATGCAGGAGCGTTAGGAGCATTTGTGAGAACATCATGCAAAATAGGAATGTGCAGTATAGACATCATGAAGGTGAACAATTGTAACATTAAAAACAGGTAAAAACAGTTAGAACGTGCCCGTTTAACATTTAACATTGGGGCCTTCCAGTGTGGCTATTCTAGTGTGGGCGCCATGTAGGACGCTTGCGCCTCTCAGTACTTTGCGAGGCAGGTTAGGTGAGAGGTGGGGAGTGGAAAGAGGGGAGGGATGTGAGGAGGGAGGCCGGGAAGAAGAAGAAGAGAGAGAAAAGGGAAGGAAAAAAAATCCCATCTGGTTTCAGGTTGGCAGTGCATGGTGGACAGTACGGGGAGAGCAGGCGATGTCTTCAGTGTGCCAGTGGGAGGTGTAAGGGGTGTCGGTATCAGGCCCCTGTTGGATGGTGCGGTGGGTTGGCCTCCCTGTAAAACATTTGTTGACCGGGCATTCAGTCCAGTTCGGGATGGGGATGTTGGGAAGGCCAAGAGCTTCTTGGAAGGTCTGGACATCCTGTGGTGTCCGAATTATGGCTTCAGTGTTGCCCCATCGGGCTGAGAGGGCGAACGGGAACTGCCACCTGTATCGTATTTGGAGATCCTGCATGGCGGCGGTGAGGGGCCGCAGTGCTCTCTGGGCCTGTAGTGTGAGGTGGGAGAGGTCATTGTAGATCTCAATCGCCTGCCCCTCAAACCTCCAGGATCGTTCAATGCGGGCTTTCCCCATGATTTCTTCCTTTAATTGGAAGTCCGGTATGCACCAAATGATGTCTCTGGGGGGTGCGCCCGGGGGAGGTTTGGGGCATAATGCCCTATGGGCCCTGTCCATGTGGATGCATGCGTCCCGTGGCCGGCCTAGAATGCGGAGCTGCGAGATTAGGCAGCCATTCTCTCTCGGTGCCAAACCACGCCCCCGCCAAGTTGAATTTAAACTAAAATACATAATTAGCTTATAGCTAGATGTTAAAATTCCAATTTGAAATCCCCACAGCTAATCAAATACGGATAAAGTGAGTTTCAGCCCTAGTGGTAATGATAGAAAAAAGACAAGAGGAATTTCAGTGATCACTGTAAGAAATAATAGATTTAGCAGGTAACTCCATTAATGATTATTCCACTTTATAGCTTTGCATCACTTTTCAGATCACAACACTTAGATAAAAATATAGCAGCAAATGAGATTTCTGGCGCTTGTTCCTTATATGTACAGCAGCTAAAACTTTCCCAAACCAGAGTCTCTTCTTTCTGGTCGTTGATACAAATAGAGCAGGGAATGTAGGGAAGCTGTGCTTAACAAATAAAATCCTTGTGTAGAATCCAATGGAGCCAATATAAAAGAGAAAACAATATAGTGTAGTATGTCTATAACAGCAGAGGCAAAATATAAGCAAAAAATATATTGCACTCAAAACTTTTCTGTGTGTTCCAACAAATAAAAAGAAAAATAAGTAATTATAAATCAGTGTGTTGCTTATTTTTCCTTTTATTTGTTTAAATTAAATTAATCTGTATTTGGACCTTCATCGGACATCTCTTTCTGGAAAAGCTGTATCTCACATTCCCAAGTGGAAGACAAACCACCTATGCTGTCAAGGATTGAGCAATACCTGTTTGCTCACCCATTGTGAGTATATTTTTCTTGTTATTTTTTTTTAATAACAATACAGAGAACACTATTCCTGTTCTTTTATATCATATATATCACTGGAGCATCATCTTGATTATTGGCACAGGGATATGATACCAGAGGAAATCAGAACCATCCTGACATCCACAGACAGGATTGTATCGTCCATACGCTGTGATCTGGAGATGATCTTGAGCTCCAGAAAAGTGGGAGTGCAATATATTTTTTGTTTACATTTTGCCTCTGCTTATATAGACATACTACACTATATTAGTATTCCTGTCCCATTTTGTTTTCTCTTTTATATTGGCTCCATTGGATTCCACATAAGGATTTTATTTGTTAAGCGCTGCTTCCCTACGTTCCCAGCTTTAGATAAAAACATGTTTAACAATTAAAAAAAAAAAAAACATCCTTGCAAGAAATGTGCCATCGGTCCAGAATAAGGTCTTCTTCCATCAGGTTGTGTTTTTAATCATAAAATATCTTAGCAAATAAAATCCATAGAAATATGTTGGCACAGTTTCTCGAGCTCACACATTGGGGCTTAGGAAAGATCACTGTGCTAAGCACCAGTTTATGGCAAAGTTGTGCCAAGACATTTTTTTGTCTTTTATTGAACCAGAGCATTGCTTGGCACAGAAAACTCATCTAGATCAGTTCAACAGAGCATGGCTTCGTAGCACCAATGTAAAAATGACTCATAGTTGAAAATAGGGCACGATTAAATTGCAGTAGAGAGAGTCCCCAAACACTAATGAGAAGAATAACGCTAAAACATATTTTTTATTCTTATAAAGTGAATTGACTTAATTAACATTGTGACTCTTTAAATTTTAAAACTCTACAACTACTCATCAGGTAGGATTCTGTAAGCTTCTTTTATGTAATCCTAACGATCACAGTTTGTTTATAATGACAGAGCAGCACAGCAAAATATGTTTGCTCCTGATAAAGGTATAAAAAAAACACAAACACAGTACGCAGTACGCAGTACATCACCAAGCCTATTTTTATATGATGTGAAATGAATTCCTTTAATGCCTTGTAATCGTTCAAATAAAGTTGATTTAATTTTAAACAAATATTTATGCAACCCCTACATAGATGGAGTCCTGCAGTGCTGGTACAATGGATTCAACATTAAAGCAGTTGGAAACAAATAATGTTAAACCATGTGGAATTTGCAATAAAGACACTTTTGGCACTAGAGGCTTTGAACCAGGTGAAAGAGCTTATGTCACGGCACAGTATAAAGGCATAAACACAGTCATTTAAGTATACAGTAACAAATTATTTTTCATCATTACCATTACCAGGGGACACATTTGTATCATATTAAAATAGACAGACAGACAGACCTCTGTTGTGTGCAACATTTGTTCTTATTCATTAAAGATGCTTCTTTGAATGTAAGATTATTTTGTAGCTATTTTAATATCAGATCCCTATAAACAGTATTGTAAAATCTCTATGAAACATATACAGTTGTAGTGAAATGAAAGACAGATTGCAAAATTTAGACTAAATAACTGATTGGGAAAAATTCCTCAACCTCACTTAGCCACAACTTGGCAATTTCACAAAAGAAATTAGCAATGTAGTTTGTTGAACATTACAACTTGATGTCTAGAGAATTAATCAGAAATGTCCAAAAACTAAATTAAACAATCTGGAATTTGTGGAAAGGCAAAGTGATTTTTCATCTGTCATCTACTGCCTTAAGCATCCGTGTAGTCTAATTTATATATAAAACATCTCTTTTCAATGTATAAGTCAAGTATATGGCAACATTCTGTAGAATACCAGTGCTTGCGCTTGTTAAACAAATAAGGTATGGTATTCAGAGATTGCAGACAAATTTAAGATAAAAGGGTGGCGGGGGGCAATCAAATAAATGAGTCAAAGAAAAAAAAAGGCTTTTATCTGAAGGATAACAGAAGGCAAAATCAAAGCACAAGCCTAATATTAAGGCATCAATCAGATGAAAACGAAATGCACATTACGGCCTCTAAACTGCCATATGTAAATTGATCTGGGCATTGTCAAACCACATTGATTGAAGCAGATTGAAAGAAAAGTATATCTTCTTTGATGGTGCCTGGTGTGAGGATGCTTAGTTCATTTGGATAAGTAGTATATAAAAACAATTAATGTGAGCCTGAGGTGACTTTAGAATGAACGGACCAAATGATGTTTGTGTATTATATTGGTAATATACTGGGTTAGGATGAAATTATCAGCAACAGACTTTATCTACTCTTCCTGCTGGCTATATGCATGAAGCCAGTTATGTTTTTTTTTGTTTTTTATCTTTTAGTTTTTTTGGGTTGTGCACGAGTAATTCATGGATATTGTCAAAATAGCAGGATATTAATCGGTAGCGAGACCAATATCCTTAAAATATATATATATTAGACTGCACATTTTTTAAAATAATAAAATGGAGACGAATGTAACTAAAGAAAAGGCACTAAAGCGTAACATATGCACTCCTTGCAGATTAAGGAAGAATTAAGTTAGTGTTAGGCAGCAAAATTCACAACAGGGTCTGGAACCCTTACGCTGCCATGGTCTTATGCGTAATCAAAGAAGTTTCTGCTTGCCATTAACTCTGTGTAAATTCAGCTGCTGGGAATACTCAATGAACAACAGTCAGATAGAGTATCAAAAAGCATTCAAAGCGGTAATGCGTTGTAAATCATATATTTAAAGAGGCATTAGTCTACTGGGCATGTGTATAATGAAAAACAAGCAACAACTACTTTCTACTGCGTATCTGCACTGCACTACTTTCTACTGCGTGAAAACAAGCATCAATTATTTGAGAAAGTCTTATCTAGAATACCAAGGTTGACAAAAGTAACATTTCATGAGAAAAAGAAGAAACAGCTGCAGAAACTGCTGACAGAAAGAATTTAGCTTTTAGCCCCTGCATACGTGGAGGGACCTAACTATGGCAAAGGTTTTAACCCTTTATTTACTTCTATCTATGACAATTCCCCTCTTCTGCCGCCACAGGTGAGAATTCTAGACAAGGTATCTCCAGGTATACTAGTTATACCTGTGGGACTTTTATTAGATCTTCACCTCGGTTCCCTTGCCATCTCACACCAACAGAGCCATCAATGAAGGCTTGTCCAGATATCTGTGGGTTACAGGATAATATATGTTATCAAATTCACATCTCATTTTGCAATAGATCCATAGGTTAATATATATACATATTTCTAAGATTTATGACAATACTTTGAGCAATGATATTGGGCGATAGTTAGAAACCAAAGTAATGTCACCGCTTTTATGGATAGGCACTACTCTTGCAGTGTTCCAAAGTTTGGGTATGTAGACACCAAGAATTCGTTAATTAGGGTTGTGACAGGTTTAACAATTGCTGGCGCACTGAGCTTCAACAGCATTGCTGGAATTTGATCAGGTCCAGATTGGTTTTTCATTTTTAGATTATTAAGGTGTTTCTTAATGACACTAATAGGTACAGGTCTAAAATTTAACTTGTCTCTGTTGGGTCTTTGCAAATTTAGTGGGGCCTGATCCACGTTTGTAGTTTCAGGATGAGTGTCATTTATTAGCTTGGCAATCAGAGTGATGGAGCATCTGACAAAATAATTGTTAAATGGCATGTATAGATGACGGAAGTGCACTCAATTCTTTGTCTGGAATTCAGGGTGCTCAACTGGATAAGTCCCAGTACCAAAAAAGGATCAATTGTAGCATTTGAATATAGAAAATAATCCAGGCACTCCAACGAATTCCAAAATATAGGCAATATTTATTGGAACAAGGAGCCAAACAGCAACGTTTCGACCCCTAAGGGCCTTTGTCAAGCTTAAGGTTAAAATCCGGGGTGTGCATGCGCACACACACACACACACTTATTTATTTATTTATTAATATATGTATATAATTTCATTCTAAGTGTTTTGAGATATATATATAATTAATTATATAAATCAATATCAAAAGAGACTTAGTATGAAATAATAGATATATTGGCTGCATTTGGTGGGATTGGTTGCAGGAGGACTCCCTCGCTTGTCAATTAGTCCCCCCAATCATATCCGCCGAGGAGGGTAAGTATACATGCTACAGTCAGGGCCCGATTGTTAGGGCTATGCTGCTATGCTGTCCTAACGGCGTTGGAGCCCTTCTTTTGTAGGACGGCACAGCACGTCCTAACATCGGGAAGGTGTTAAGCAGGGAAGACCATGGAGACTAAAAGTCCATTTTCAAACACTGTCGGACCCAAGGTGCATTTATATGGCTGAAGGATCCTGCCATATACTAATAGAAAATATTTTTCCTTTGAAGACTTAATTAAAGGATTAATATATATAACATAATATACAGTTGTTTTTTAAGTGGGTTGATTGGGAGATACCAGGATCCTTGGTCAGTGTTCTCTGTAGTCCAGTTTGTCTCCTATGCTTGATAGCAAAGCTGCATATGTCTTTCAGTGGTGCAATGGACCGGTGCTACCATAAGGTGGAACAGGGGGACAATATAAGGTGCACTGCAATGACCGGGTGAATACCTATTCCAAGGCACTCCATGTAAAGGAAGATGTTCACTAGATGTAAGAAGGCATGCAAAGTGTGGAGGTGGTAAGACATATAAAGGCATTGGGGAGAGGACACACAAAGGGGCTGGGAGGATGTATGAAACACGCAAAGGGGCATGGGGGGGAGTAAAAGACACAAAAGGGGGGATAATATACACTTATGACTAGAGTATATTAGAGTGAGACACATAAAGGGGCAAAGGTGGATAAGATTCACTAAAGGGGATGGTATACACATAAGGGTGAGAAATACATTAAAGGGTGTAAGAAATTCAAAATAGGGGTTGAGACACAGGTAAAGATGTATTGGGGGAGCAAAATACAACTTCACCTGTGTAGACAAAAATCCTTGCACCAGCCCTGCCTATGAAAACCATCTGGATGAGTGCACGGTGGCTGTCATCAGTTTCCAGCTGTTCCTCTATGTTATCAGTTTCCACTGTTCCTCTATGAGGAGCGACAACTGGATTATATCATGGGAGGTGGAGGCAGAAGGGCTGGAGTAAAGATAAGTAAAGGGTGTCTCTGTGCTGGAGTAAAGATAAATAAAAAACAATTTCATTTTTTTTTAGGTTTTTACTGGAAACAGGCTTGTATTCCTAATGCTAATGCTACATTTTTAAATAACAGTGACAAATGTTCACGTTGTAGAAGGACATTCACAACCTTGAGAAAAAAAAACACACACTCAAAACGTATGAACTTATAATTGCCCTGACTTGACAAAACAGCATCTGGACATTCTGACAATAGTTTTTGCGTTTGACATTACCTAGGGGTGTCTCCAGACATTTTAAAATGTGCTCTTTGAATAGTCTAATTAAAATGCCTCTGTCAGCCTGGAGCAGCAGCTCATGGAAAGATTTTGTCTTGGAAAGTAATGGATCATAATATTATTAATTCATACACAGGTTTATTAAGTTGCTTATATTTAATTTTTTTTGGAAACATGAGAAACATCTGTAAAAATCTAGGCCATAATACATGGTCTTAATTGGAGGATTTTTTCATTTAGGCATTTAGTCTACAATTTGGAAGCCGGTTCTCAAATCACCACTGTTACTATTTAAAAGAATGTAAGAAATTATCAATGAAACAAACTGTAAGTGAAATGACATTAAAATAAGTGTGGCCACTGGAGGTGTTCCTAGGCTTTAACCCCTTAAGGACACATGACATGTGTGACATGTCATAATTCCCTTTTATTCCAGAAGTTTGGTCCTTAAGGGGTTAAAGGACCACTATAGTGCCAGGAAAACATACTCGTTTTCCTGGCACTATAGTGCCCTGAGGGTGCCCCCACCCTCAGGGACCCCCTCCCGCCCGGCTCTGGAAAGGGGAAAGGGGTAAAAATGTACCTTTTTCCAGCGCTGGGCGGAGAGCTCTCCTCCTCCGATCCTCCTCTTCTCCTCCCCGTTGGCTGAATGCGCACGCGCGGCAAGAGCTGCGCGCGCATTCAGCCGGTCACATAGGAAAGCATTCATAATGCTTTCCTATGGACGCTGGCGTGCTCTCACTGTGAAAATCACAGTGAGAATCACGCAAGCGCCTCTAGCGGCTGTCAATGAGACAGCCACTAGAGCAGGGGTTCTCAACGTTAGTCCTCAGGACCCCCTACCAGTCCAGGGTTTAGGGATTACCTGGGTGTGTCTAAGGTGTTTAGAAAAAAAAGAAAAAAAAACACCTTAGAGTCTAAGGTGTTTTTTTCCCTTTTTCTAAACACCTGAGACACACCCAGGTAATCCCCAAATCCTGGACTGGTAGGGGGTCCTGAGGACTGGGTTGAGAACCCCTGCACTAGAGGATTAGGGGGAAGGCTTAACCCATTCATAAACATAGCAGTTTCTCTGAAACTATGTTTATGAAAAAATGGGTTAACCCTAGCTGGACCAGGCACCCAGACCACCTCATTAAGCTGAAGTGGTCTGGGTGCCTAGAGTGGTCCTTTAATGTAAACACTGCTTTTTCTCTGCAAAGTAGACATGTGCAATTCGTTTCATTCCGATTCGGATGAATTTCGGAAATTCGGATGCTTCCAAATGTCCGAAGTGACTAATTGCCGGAGTGCCGAAGTGCTTCAGGTTTCTGAAAAGTGGCAAAACATGAGAAGGTTGTGGTTAGGGGTTGGGGTAGGGTTGGGAATAAGGTTAGGTTTAGGGGTAGGGTTAGTGGTTGGGTAACACTAACCCTATTCCTAACCGTAATCCTAACCCCAACCCTTCCCCTAACCCAACCCCTAAACTTACCTGAAGTCCCGAAATCGTGAAGTTCTGAAGAGCCGAAGTCCCGAATTTCGGAATGCCAAACCGAACCGAATATTTTTCCCATGCACATCCCTAATGAAAAGGCAGTTTTTACAACAAAACAAAAAAGTCTGCAGGGACTGACTATAGTCACCAGACCAATTACAATAAGGTGTAGTTGTTCCGATGACTGTCGTGTCCCTTTAAGATATTAAGAAAGGAGTAAAAATCCCACTTGCAAATGCAGTAGTATTGACAAAAATAGGTGAATAGAAATAATCAAACAATCTTTTTATATTAGTAACTACAAGAAACCTGAAGAAATTTTTCATGTAATTATCTTAAAAAACCACCTGAGTGTGAAAATACTATGTTGAAAAATACCGTTCTGTTAAAGAGGTGAAGCTGGGCTACATGTAGCATTTAATGCTGTTTCATCGGGGACCCAATCATATTCATTGTGCCATAGACAACTCCTCTCAATAAATGATTACTGTAGTGTCAGTACTTTGTAAGCTGATGCTCAGCCAGTAATTCATATCTCACTTAGAGGACCACTCTAAATGAGAACCACTCATTTAGTGAATGTGGTAGCTGGCAATTATTTTTAGTTTGATGAATAAGCTAATGATTTTTAGTTTAGTGATAAGGCGATCAATAAAAATGACATGGTAAAAAAAACTGATTAGATCCTTGCCATTGAAGAAAGACCTTTATTTGTTTTGTAAAAACTTATCCAATCTACAATATCTCTAGATAATTAGTGATAACATTTTAAGATGAAGCTTCTAGTAATTGTGTCTCCTAATTCACGGCCTCAGGCATTTCTCAAGCAGTACTATTTCATTGCCTAATGGAAAATATAGCCCTGAGTGATTTTAGCAATTAGCTGCATTATATTAACTCTGAAATGTATGTTCATTTTTTTATGCTTCAAAATTTCAGTTCTAATCTATAGGTGAAGTTTGAAATTAAATTAGTGAAACAATTATCTCACAGTTGATAGAAATTGGTTCTGTGCATTTTTTCTAAATTAATGCGGAATACTTAATATCAGAATTGTAATTAAATTCTATATCTATAAATCAGAATTTAATTAGAATAGAATTACATTTTAAAAATGCTGATTCTATTTTCTAAAATAATAAGGATTGTTGTTGATT